TACTTCCCCTCATTCTTCCTTATTGTGGGAGGGAACCCTTATTTCACACTACACCCGGGCGCCGGTGTAACGGCCCTTGCACACTTTTCACTGTATTCAGGCTATACAGCACGTCGTTTCCAGGGTACGCCCTAGCACTTACACAATGATCAAAAGGATTCATGTCATGATTTTTTCGACAAGTTTTACGCTGGTTGTCGACTACCTAACACAACCCTCTATTTTTCGCATCCGGGCTTGGGACCGGGCTCGGGCTTGGGACCAGCAACGGCAGTGTGATAAAACTACTCCTAAAATTTTTAGATTCGTTTTTGTTATAATTTTGTATCCATTCGGTTAATATGCGAGTTAGAAACTTGTTACTTGCTTTATAGACATCATCTAAATTCATCTCTTCTGTTTTTATACAGGGTAGATGATGATGATGAAAATCGTGCCGGCCGCTCTACATCCAATGTTGAAAAGCTCTCTGTAAAGAAAAAAGGTATTGGGTCAGAAGCTAAGGCTGAACAAATGGCTCGAGCAGACTCTGATTTACAGTTGCTATCTCATGCTGAGCAAGAAAGGCAGATACTGAAACAGAAGAAGCGTAGAAATCAGGGGCGTGAGGAAGATGTATGAAAATCTTGTCTTCTCACAAAATTTACTTGGACTCTTAACAATCATTATTCAGTATAAACTAAGGTTTAAAGCTCTGTTCCTTCCAAAGAAATAACTGTGATTTATGCATATGCTATCTTAAAGTTTGTGTCAGTCTTGCTATTCCATATTACAGCAAACACCAAGCTTTTTTGCTCTTAGATTTTTCTTATTTTGGAACGTTGTTCATTGCAGAATGTTAGCATTGGCAAGGCTCGATAAATTTCATAAATTTTTATAATAAAAGTCTATAATCTTTTAATATTTTAGATGCCGATTTATTGTGCTCTAATTTTTCTTCTTCTATTGCTTTATTCATCTAGACACTAGAAAGGCTAGAGAAATTCAAGCAATCTTTAGCTGACAAGCTATCTGCACCTGCTCGTAGTAACTTGAAGGACAATGATAAGGATGAGTCAGGGTGGCTTCTGAATCAGTTGAAGTTTGCTCCTAATCATTCCGAGGGAAATGTACTTGTATAGTCTTATATCCTAAACTTCAACTTCTGAAATTCATTTTTTAATTTTTAAATGAAAAATATTCATTGCATTGAAGCTTAAAAGCTCTTTCAGGATGCAATGGCTCGGAAGGATGATCCAAATGAATATGTAGTGCATGATCCTCTTCTTGAGAAAGGCAAAGAAAAGTTCAACAGGATGCAAGCTAAGCTTAAGCGGCGTGAGAGAGAGTGGGCCGGAAAATCCCTAACCTGATTGTTTTTAGCATCTGATGTTTGCATAATGATTTGGCACCTGTAATTCTCTATATCTTGCACTTGTTTCTTCTTATGTTCTGCTAATGCTTATTAATTCTGCCTTTATGTGGACTTAATTTGTTTAATTACGTATAAAAGCAATAAAACCTTACGCTTTTGATCTTAAATATTGATTGAAGTTTCATTATTTTGTTTTTCTTGCTAGTTTTCTGTTTGGTTTTGTTAATATGATATTAGCATTTTTATCTGGTAAAAGAAGCCGATTGCTGCTCCACCTAATCGTAGTAGGATCAAATTTCTCTTGTTAGATATTAGTTCTCTTTTCAATCAGCATTGTGCCATCAACGATACTGTCTTCTCCACTCGAAATGCAGATTTATTCCATGATTGATTTATGATCCGTTCATTGTTACTTCAGCACTATTGCTGTAGTCACTTGTATTTAGGCATTGTAAGTCTGTAGTTACCCATAAGGCTCTTGTTTTGACACGGGGCTCTATTGAACCGGCAGCTGATCCAATTGGGAAAGCTGAACTGATTCAGGGAGGGAGGCAAAGGGGCTGGCTGGCCCAATTGTTTCGGTTAGGGTTGCCGCCCGAGTGCTCCTAGTTATCTAATGCTATATATTTTGTTATTTCCTTTGTTAAGGGTTGGTTTTTTGGTCTTATGTTAGGACAACCAAAAGCTAGACGTGCCAAAACTTACTGCAAAGTAAGTTGACTGCATAACGCAATATATATGTAAAGTAATAATGCATTTAGAGTATACCGTATATCGATCCCACATGGTAAGTGTAACAATTGTTTCAACAGAAAAATCTTTAGTTTATGAATCCGGTGAATGTACTTTGGCAATTTCACAAAGAGGGTTGTATTCCTAATTAAAACAAAAAACGATCGTAGAAAGAAGAAGCAGAAGCAGTGGGTGAAATTTCAAACGTTTCTTCAAGCTTGATGAGACTCGTGCCTCTGTGATTCAGGAATTGTGGAGTTCGAAACTTTCCTTAATATTTTTTCTACGTGATTGTCGTCAATCGGGGTTACAATACTTTTTATGCCTATGACTAGGTTACAAGAAGACCAAAATCTATGAAGTTGAGGCTTCCTTAATCCCCACGACATTTCGCATAACTGTTCCGACCCCTGCAATTGATTGCAGAATTCTACTGGAATGTGTCAATCCTCTCAGAATTCTCTGATTAACTCTTTGTTCCACTACGCAACGGTTAGAAGTCGTAACTTCACAAAATATTTTAACATTCTAGTTGGTCAAACTAGGAGTAGATTAAGTCCTTAGGTTAACCAACAACATATGCCTTAAAACACAAGAAACGATAGAAAACATCTCGAAAAACTACGAAGAAAACTCTATCCCTTCATCACAGAGACATGAAGAAAAGTTTTAGCCACGTATTGTTGAGAAAATCATAGAAACAGATTCTATGTAGATCTTCATTGCAAGAATTAAACCAAAGGAAAACATACAATAAATGAGTTTTCTCTCCATAAGAGCAGGCCCCTTCCTCTCATACAACTCAACTCTCAAATACTTCAAAGAAAAACTCATCTCTCATGGTTTCTCACCAAAGAAGGGAAGAAAACCTCAAGATAGAACTCTCTCTAATCAAACCTTAAACTTTCTTGCAGCCTCGCGTCATCCAGAGATACCTAAGATCGGCCTTATAGGTCAATTTATAGGAGAAGCTCGACAAAGGAAAGAAATTTTTTTCTAAAATTAGATTCTGCAAACTGACGCGGGCACGGGTGCACTACTTACAACGCAAGTGTGCCACGACAATGACACGAGGGCAGTGAAGCTTAAACAGACAAGCCGGTGCGAACATGTTGCTTGCGGCGTGGTACTCCAAACATGGCGCGGGTGCACCGGGGTTAAAGCGAGTGCGCTAGTTTGAAGTTCTTCAATTTTGCTTGTTTTCTCTCTATTTTGCTCCAATTTCTCCATTTGCCTTGTTTTGTACACAATTAAGATAAAATATACATTTCTCAAGCATTTTATAGTTTAAAACATTGTAAAACATCGCAAAGTATGCCCTCTACATGTCATATATTTCATTCTAATCAGGAGTTATGTATCCTGACTATAAATCAAATAGTTTAGGAGTCATGTATCCTGACTAAACGTCAAATAGTTTAGATGATATGTATCCTGACTATAAATCGGACTAGATAGCCAAGGTAGTATAGTCGATGGAAAATGGTTGGACTAACCTGAGTAATCTCAACCATCAAAGATGCCTCATGCGAGCAATTGAATTGAAAGTCGATATAGTTCTCATCGAGTAGAACATCAAACAAGCAATCACGTGGCAAAGTAATCTGAGGTAGCATGTTCAACTATCTGCTTGATGCACGATGCAGGCTTAGTAGGGTAAGATGCTTCTTCTGAGGGATATCAATTTCAACTGACCGAGGTGATCCCATCAAGAGAGTAAGCATCATAATATAGTCGGCTAGTGAGGTATGCCGATGGAACATGGGTTGGTTAGAAAACCGATATGACATCTTCTCGATAAGGTAATAAGAATTAACTGAGTGGATCAAAGATATCAATGAGATTGGACAAACAAGATGTTCCAACCACAATATTTCCCAAGCACTGACAAGATAACTCTTGTTGAAGATTCCTCCAAACTAGCAAACTAACTCTTGCTAGGGAAGGTATCAGATATCTCAACAAGACATGGGTCGGTTAGACAGCCTATCCATGTCCCTTGACAAAGCGAACAAAATCAACTGAGTCGATCAAAAATTTCATGAAGCCTAGGTGGACTTAACGGTCAAACTTAAGGTGCTTTCATAAGCACCAACGAATAACTTTCATTATAGATTCCTCAGAACTATCATAGTTTTTTTTTTGTTGACGAAATATCAACGGATATTTTTGTGATAGTTGGCTAAAGCAACTCTCGTTCGGGAAAATACCGGGGCAGACATCAGAATGTTCTGATTAGAAAACATGGATTGGTAGACAATCAATGAGGTTTAAACCAATACACTATGTCACTTTGGCAAGACAATAAAAAATGATCGAGTCTCAAATGTATCAAGCATTTAGACTAGTCGGATGACCCAATTGTGAGGGGTACCCTCGTAAGATTAGCGAAACAACTTCTGCTAGAGAATTATCTAATCCTAGAATGACTAGCCACAAAGTTCTTAGCTTTTAAGCCATACTCAGATGTATCCTTTAACGGATACATACCACATTCATGAGTTGGCTAGAGTATCTACCACATTCATTTATGATGAATGAGATACTACTAATTCAGAACAGTATGAAGCGTATCCTCAAAAAGAGTGCTAGGAAAAGTGCATGGTTTTCTCGCTTATGGGAAGTGTCAGGTGAAATCGACTTCAATCAATCGAGATACTACAAAGGTTAGCTAACCAAGTTGCACTAACTATAAAATGCTTAGCTTTAGTGTTAAGCACAAATCCCTTAACAAGTTTATTTTTCACACTCATTTAAGATGAGTGGGACAAGTATATCCAACACACTCACTTTTGATGGATGGGATATACTAATTTGGACTTGCTTGAAGCATGTACCTGAAAAAGTCATGGTAAGAGAGGTACAATGACTCTCTCTCACTGATTATTGGTTGTGTCAGGTATAAACCACCCGTAGGACTTACACATTGCTTGTATGGCAATCCAACAATCAATTTAAGAGACGCTCAAGACTTCTGTTACACATGACGGGTATCAAATGCTATTTACTTCGGTCAATCGAGATACCAAAAGGGTTGGTTATGAAAGATGCACCAACTAAATGATGTTTAGGTCAAAGGCTAAACTTGAAAATATCCCTTATAGGGAATTTATCACACTCATTTATGAATGAATGGGACAAACATATGTACCATACTCATTGTTGATGTGTGGGATACACTAATTTGGATCTGCCCGAAGCACGTAACCAAAGAGAAAAGATAAGAGAAGTGCGTGGCTTTTCTCACGCCGATTACCGGTTACGCTAGGTATAGGCCACCCGTAGAACTTACTCCTTGCATGTATGACAATTCAATAATCAATTTTAAGAGATACACAAGACTTCTCTTATATGCAAATTTGTCATCTTGAAGTATGTAGCATGATACCCTAGTAATTATAAGGAAGTCATCATAAATAGCTCGAACAGATGTAATATCAAAAAGATGTATTTTTATTGCTCAATAATTGAATTACATAGTACATAAAAGCTTTGAATTATCAAACTTTCATGAAGTACATCCGATACATCAAATACACACTATGCCTAAGCATGATACCTCTTCAAGTATCGTACGTTGATAGGGGCATCTGATGAGATCCACCTACGTCGATCAGCAAGTAGCGTCCTACTTCATAGATCTTCTCGACTACAAAAGGTACTTCCCATATGGGCTCAAACTTCCTATGCCTTCAGCGATGAGTCGCAATTGGGAGGTGTAAAATCAGCACCAACTCTCAAACCATAAAGGTATGGGGCCTCATGAGATTATCATAGGCTCTGGCTATGCAAGTTGAGAATCGCCATAGATTTTGATTCTCTTGATGCTCATTTGAATAGCTACCTCAAGTCCTAAGATCAGTTTCTCATATTCAACAACATTATTAGTACAGAGCTCCACTAAACTGTAAGAATAGCGGAGATCGTTGTGCTCTGGTGATATAAATACCAACCTAACCCCTTATTGTACCTTTGGGAGAGATCCCAGTGACCCTTTCTTTATGGAAGTTGCCATCAAAATAGAACTCCCAATCTTAGGAATCAACAACCATCCAACTCATCGGGAAAATCATCTTTAAGAGACGAATCTACCGGGATCCGGTGAGCTATTAGAAAATCAACTAACACCTGTCCCTTGATAGCTCGTTGAGGGACATATGAAATGTCAAACTCGAACAATATCATAGCCCATCTATTCAACTGTCCAGCGAAAGTGGGACGGGTCATCAAATACTGCAAGGAATTTATCCTTGAAATCTGATCAATATAGTGTCTAAACTTCTGAACTAAAAATATCCATGCTAAGCTATGCTTTTCAATCGACAGATACTTCATTTCTGCAGGATGAAATGCCATTTAAGACAGTAAAAAACATTCTTTTCTCCCATCCTCATTCATTTGGGCCTA